TAGTAGAGACGGAGTCCTCTCTTGCTCAGACCAGCCTCAACCTCTGGCCTCCGAGCGACCTCCGCCTCGGCCTCCGAGTGCTGGGATGACAGGAATGAGCCTCCCGCCCGCCTCATTTTTTTTCTATACTACTTCTTCTAGTTGTTTGAACTATTCTTTCTATTCTTTTTTTTAAAAAAAAAAAAAAAAAAAGACGCAGTCTCGCTCTTGCTCAGGCTGGCCTCGACCTCCTAACCTCCTTGAGCGATCCTCCCTCCTCGGCCTCCCAGAGTGCTAGGATGACAGGCGTGAGCCTCCGCGCCCAACCTGTGCATATTTTTACTTAGCCAGTTAATTTTTATTTATAGTAGAGACGGGGGTCTCGCTCTTGCTCAGCCTGGCCTCGACCTCCTGACCTCCTTGAGCGATCCTCCCTCCTCGGCCTCCCTCCCGAGTAGCTGGGACTCCAGTCATGCGCCACCACGCCCGGCTCATTTTTTTTTTTTCTATATATTTTGAGTTGTCCAGCTCATTTCTTTCTACTTTTTTTTAGTAGAGACGGGGTCTCGCTCTTGCTCAGGCTGGCCTCAACCTCCTGGCCTCCAGCGATCCTCCACCCTCGGCCTCCCAGAGTGCTGGGATGACGGGCGTGAGCCTCCGCGCCCGGAAGGCCCTGCGAGGTAGAGTCGGGGTGACCCTGAGCACCCCCGTTCCCCTCCCTCCCCCCAGGCGCCGTGCGGAGTCACCTCTCCGACTTCAAGAAGCACCGAGCCGCGAGAATCGATCACTACGTCGTCGAGGTCAATAAATTGATAATCAGGTTAGAGAAGGTAAATTCTGTGGTTTTATTTATTTACTTATATTTTTTGAGGCAGAGTCTCGCTCTGTCGCCCGGGCCGGAGTGAGCGCCGTGGCGTCAGCCTCGCTCACAGCAGCCTCCAACTCCTGGCCTCGAGCGAGCCTCCCGCCTCGGCCTCCCTCCCGAGTAGCTGGGACGACAGGCGTGCGCCACCACGCCCGGCTCGTTTTTTCTATATATATTTTTAGTTGGCCAATTAATTTATTTCTATTTTTAGTAGAGACGGGTCTCGCTCTTGCTCAGGCTGGCCTCCACCTCCTGGCCTCGAGTGATCCTCCAGCCTCCGCCTCCCAGAGTGCTGGGACGACAGGCGTGAGCCACGGCGCCCGGCTAATTTCTTTTTTCTATGTATTTTTAGTTGTTGAACTAATTTGTTTCTTTTTTTTTTTTAGTAGAGACGGGGTCTGGCTCTCGCTCAGGCTGGCCTCCAACTCCTGACCTCGAGCGATCCTCCCGCCTCGGCCTCCCAGACTGCTGGGACGACAGGCGTGAGCCACCGCACCTGGCTAATTTCTTTTTTCTATATATATTAGTTGGCCAATTAATTTCTTTCTATTTATAAGAGAGACGGGGTCTCGCTCTTGCTCAGGCTGGTCTGGGACTCCTGGCCTCGAGCGATCCTCCAGCCTCGGCCTCCCTCCCGAGTAGCTGGGACCACAGGCGTGAGCCACCACGCCCGGCTAATTATTTTTCCTATATATTTTTATTTGTCCAGCTCATTTCTTTATATTTTTTTTAGTAGAGACGGGGTCTCGCTCTTGCTCAGGCTGGCCTCCACCTCCCGACCTCGAGCGATCCTCCCTCCTCGGCCTCCCAGACTGCTGGGACGACAGGCGTGAGCCTCCGCGCCCGGCCTGAAACACTTGTCATTTAGTGTAACCGGCGTTCGGGTTGGCGGGCTCGGCTGTGTCGTTCCTGCTTGGTGGGTGAACGGGGGAAAGGGCGGCCCGTGCAGAGATGTCACCCGGCTCATCGACCCCGCGTGACTTTGTTTCCCTTTCCGTCAGCTGACTGCGTTCGACCGAGCCAATATGGAATCTGCGAAGATCCGAGGTAACTTTTGAGCTCGCCTCGCCTCCGTTCTCGTCAATGTCCCTGCCCGGATCCCCTTTATTTATTTATTTATTTTTTTGTCCCTTTTTTTTTTTTTTGTTATTATTTCATCATAATACGGGTTTTATTTTAGTTTTTTTTCAAATGGCCTACTTATTTTTTTATTTTATTTTATTTATTTTATTATTTTATTTTATTTTATATTTTTTATTTTACTTATTTTACTTTATTTTATTTTTTAATTTAATTTAATTTTATTTTTTTATTTTATTTTATATTTTTTATTTTATTTATTTTATTTTATTTTTTAATTTAATTTAATTTTTTAATTTTATTTTGTTTTAATTTAATTTAATTTTTTCATTTTATTTTATTTTATTATTTTATTTTATTTATTTTATTTTATTATTTTATTTATTTCATTTTATTTTAATTTTATTTTATTTTATTTTATTTTTCATTTTATTTTATTTTATTATTTTATTTATTTTATTTTAATTTAATTTAATTTAATTTTATTTTTTCATTTTGTTTTATTTTATTTTATTTTATTTATTTTATTTTATTTTATTTTATTTATTTTATTTTGTTTATTTTTTTATTTTTTTAGACAGAGTCTGGCTCTGTCGCCCGGGCTAGAGTGAGTGCCGTGGCGTCAGCCTCGCTCACAGCGGCCTCCACCTCCTGGCCTCCAGCGATCCTCCTGTCTCGGCCTCCCTCCCGAGTAGCTGGGACTACAGGCACGCGCCACCACGCCCGGCTCGTTTTTTTTTCTATATATTTTTAGTCGTCCAGCTCATTTCTTTCTCTTTTTTAAGTAGAGACGGGGTCTGGCTCTTGCTCAGGCTGGCCTGGAACTCTTGACCTCGAGCGAGTCTCCCGCCTTGGCCTCCCAGAGTGCTGGGATGACAGGCGTGAGCCTCCATTCCCAGCTAACTTTTTTTCTATATATTTATAGTTGTCCAGCTAATTTCTTTGTGGTTTTTTTTTTTTTTTTTTTTT